TCCCAGGCAGGATACACCTATAAAGGAATCTGTGCTTGGAGCACTTCATTCCCAGCCTTAAATTGTGGTGCCCAACAGCTGGAATTGTGAGGGGGAGCAGGAATGGTTTCCCAGCAGGGTTTGCAGTGGGGGCCCAGGGAGGGTATCCCTGTTAATTCCCACTTTGGAGCTCTGTGGACATCCACAGCCTGGGTAAAGATGTGGTCTTGCCCAGAACAGAATTCCCCTGGTGCTGGCATGGACCCACCTGTGGGTGCAGGAAACATTTAACCCAGCAGTGACAGCCCTTTTTTAATTTTTATTCACATACATGATGAGTTCATGATTAAACACAAATCTTTTAGCTCCAGTGATTTTTTTTTTTTCCTTAAAAAATTCCCTTTGCAGTTGTGCTGCAACTGATTATCTGCTTTTAATTTTTTTTTCTTTTTTTCTGTTCTTGTTATTTTTAAATGAACTTTCAGATGTCATTATTTCTTCGAGGCTGGAGTGAAATGAGAAAGTACCTGAAAGGGTTTAGGGTGCCAGCCTAATCATTGAATCCGGCCTTGCTGCCTGAAAATTTCAAAGCTTTAAAGCCTTGAAAAGGGATTCAAGTGGAAGTGGTGACACGTAGCAGCATAAATAATTATCTTTGGGCCCTTTCACCTCTGAATTCTTTTTTTACAGCGTACAGAACATGGTCTGAAGAGGTTAATAAACGCGCTGCCGCAGAGTGCTTACAAAATTAATGCAGCTGCCATGGATCTGGGGGGCTCCCTGGGAGTGGGGCTTTGCTGCCTTCCAGCTCTCCCAGAGAAGCAAAGAATGAGCTTGCTGGGGTGGTGCAGGTGTTGGGCAGTTTTATTCCAGCCCGGAGCAGCGCACAACGGAGCGTCCACCACATCCGCGGCTGCTGCAGCACTCCCAGGCCTCCGCTTTGTCCTTCCCTGCTGATGGTTTGGAAGGGTTTTTTAAGGGATGCAGCCAACTTGTTTCCTTTTTTAATTGAGTTTATCAAGCCTGGAAACAAACCTTCCCTGCATGGGCAAGGCTGCAGGAGCCTCCCGGGCAGGTCTGCTCGCCGGCTCCGCAGTTTTTATCCCAGCCACCGTGTGCTGTGACAGAGAGAGATTTCTCTTTTAAAGGAAGGAAGCCCCTTTTTCCCTCCACACCCAAAATCCTTGAGTAAAGAGCAAGCCAAGGCTGTAGCTGGTGTTGGTGCATCACCTTTAATTAACTTGCTGGTCTCTGCAATGTACCAGGTTTGGAAATAATTTTAAATGCTTCATTGGGGCTCTGTGAAATTTTCAAACAGATTTTTCCCCTGGATACTTGATGTAGCAAATGCCTGAATTTAAGTACAAATGTACATCTGATTTGGAGTAATTTCCAAAGTGAGATTTGGATCTCTTTGACCTCTTATTAAAGCGAACGAGTGCTGGAAAACACCTCTTCTGCAACAAATACAGCTTTCATTTTTCCTTAAAATACTTTTGTGTAAAAATGCTGAGTGTGAGCTGCTCCATGTCCCTGGCTCCAGCATTTGTCCCTTTGCAGCAGAAGTGTCTCAGGTGGGAAGTCTCTTAGCCACGGTGCTGGCTGGGGGTGGATTTATTCGGGATTCCAAAGCCTGTGCAGCGCAGCTCCGCTCTGCACCGGGCGATCCAGCCCCAGCCTGTGTTTTTGGGAGACTCCACAGCCGGATGAGGGATGCTCAGCCCTGCCCCTGGCACCTCTCTGAGCAGAGGATGTTTTGTCCCCGTTCCGTATGGCGCCTCCAGCTCACCCCACTTGTTTACTCGTGCTGCTAATCCCAAAAATAAATGCTTGCTTTTGTTTGTTTGTTTGCAGGCGTACGGCCCCGGGAGGCCCTACCCGCTCCCGCATCCCGCAGGAAGGTACAGCTGGAATTAGCTCCTGCCTCCTGGGGGTTTTTTTAAACATGGAAAACGTCCGGGTTTTTTGCTTTTGTTCTTTTTTATTATTTGTGGGGCGAGGGAAAAAAAAAAAAATGAAGTTGTTAAGGTTAAGCACCATCCCTGTAGTTTTTAAACGGATGCCTGTTTTAAATGTGCACATTTCTTACGGACCTGATGATGATTTTTTGGGAGGGACTGGGAAGAGCGGATTGCCGTCGGACGAGGTGGGAGTGCTGCGTTGTCCTCCATACATACCCAAGCTGTGCCGAGCGCTGCCCGCCCCTCTGAACTCCAAACATCCTCTACTCCACACACAAGAGCCTGAAAACAGACAAGGAGTTGGAAAGAATGCCCAGAAATGGGATTTTATGGACTCTCGGGGCAGACCCAGCAGGCAGCCGGCGGCACTGAGAGAGACACGGCCCTCGCTGCTCCTTGGCAGATGCTTCCTTCGGTTTCTCGGACTCTGAAGTAAAACATTTCAACTTTTTGGATGTGTGCCCGTTTCTGGCGTGGGTTTTGTCATGGCATAACCAGGCAGGGGCCGTGGGTTTGTCTGTTTGATACCTAATTTAAAACGGCTGCGAAGGGCAGGAATTCCATTCGTTTTTAGCACTCTTTCTAGGGATTTTCTGTGTGAGTGTACCAAATCAGTAAATATTTTTATTTGCTTTATAAAGTGGCTTTTGAAATTCTGAGCAGTGGCGTGTGGTTAATTTCCAACCCCCTCCAGAGCCAGTTTGGATCTTTTACTTGTGTGCACACATTCCTGTTGATTTATTGGAAAATAATTCCACCCAACCTCTAGAATTTAAACTCTTTGAGTAATAATAAAAAAAAGAAAATTAGGAGAGCATTCAGTTCAGTTTTCCCTTTGGATTTTTCAATTAAATCCAGGTATTGTGTAAAGTTCCCAGCCCCGCTCTTGCCCCAACTCCTTGGTGCTCCCTCCTTTCCAAACATCCAGGTGTTAGTCACCAGCAACTGGGGGAAAAGCCCTGACAGCCCCATTTAACTTGGAAGGAAGAAATCGACCTGGATTCATTATTTTCAAGTGATGGAAGGTGGAGCAGAATCCCTCATTGTGATGCAGCATTCCCGGGGCTGGGAGCTGCCAGCCCTCCCCAGGGCCTTCTCCCAAGGCCGGGAAAAGATTGGGGTGCTCAGAAAGAACCATTTTGCTTTTCCAGCAGGACAAAACCAGCTCTGAGGGTGAGTTTTCATGGGAATGGGCTGGAGGAAGGAGTGGGGTGGGTCGCCTACGTTCCAAAGGTGGATGGACCCGCATGCTGGTGGCTTTGTCCCTTGCTCCTATTTTTTGGGGCACGAAAAGTCTGGGTAAACATTTGGGGGGCTGCTGTGGGAAAGGCTCATCCCTGCAGGCTTCACTTTGCCCAGCCCTTCACCCCTGCAGTGTGATCCCGAGTGGAGCCAGCCTGGGCCCTGGGAGCTGTGCTGCCGCCTTGGAGCAGGGCGCTGGCCTGGGGCTTCCTTTCCTCGGCTCAGATGCAGGGCTGGCATGCAGGACCCGGCCGGGCAGCACCACCCTTCCTGGGGCTCTGCTGCAGTTCCCTGAGCCCCCAGCTGCTGGGGGGCCCGGGGGTCACCCTGGGACAGCATCCCTGTGCAGCTCCTCAGGCTGCTTTGCTGACAGGTAACATTTTGTTTTCCCCACGCTGGAGCTGAGCCCAACATATCCCCTTGGATTTAACAGAGTTAGGGAGAAGCCACTCACCAGGCTGGGCTCAGTCCCACCCCAGACACTCTGGGCTGTTTCCCGTGGGACCCAGCAGGGAGAAATTCTCCCTCATGGAAAGGGGAGGGAGCCGGGGGGAAGAGGGTCTCCTTCCAGAAGAACGGTGAAGATTCCCTTCCCCTCCAGGCTCCCGCATAAGGCTTGGGGAGGGGGTCTGGGAGTGTGTCTGTGGTCTTGCAAAGGCCAAATTTTCATCTCAGAATCATTCCTTCATGGCACAGCCGGGAGTGGAGCAGCCCCAGGTGCTGGGGAGCCCCACCGAGGCTGGGGTTCAGCGGGTCCCCCAAGAATGGGGGAGCCTGGCAGAGGCGGGAGGGACGCGGAATTAAATCCTTAGCAGCCGACAGGGAGGCAGAAAAAAGGGGATTTTGAGGTTGTCCTTCAGTCCGTACACCGAGAAAGAAGCAGCCGAGTTGTGAGAACAAGGCTTCCTTTTATTGTTTAAAATAAAATTAAAATAAAAAATAAAAGAGAGAAAAATTGCCGGAAAGTCCCGAGGAGCGTTTCCCGACGTGCGGGATTTCCTCGGAAAGTGGCGCGGGGATAAACCCGGCTCCGGCGCCGCGCATCCTCCGGCCCCGGCTGCTGCGGGGTCCGATCCCGGCGGGAAGCGGGGTCCAGCCCCGGGAATCCCCGGGCTCTCCGTCACCTCCGCAGGGCTCCGAGCTCGTCGGGAGCTGAGCCAAGGGCCGGGGGCTTGAGGCGGCTCCGCGGGACGCGCGCCCCGTCCACGCACGGGCATTCATTAACTGCGCGGTATTTAATAACAACAACGAGAAAAACGGGGTTTTCCCCTTAAATCCGAGCACCGGCGCTGCAGGGCTCTCCTGCCACGGCTCCCGCCTCAGCTGAGCTGCGACCCAATTTACCTCGGACGGAGATAAGAACGGAATGGCACCGTTCCGGGGCACCCCCACGACACGAATTCGGCCGCGACGAGCAGCGCCTCGGAGGGTTTATCGCGGGACGCGCCGGGGCTCCCGGGCTGCGCTGCCGCCGGGGCGAGGGGCCGGGCCGGAGCGGAGCCCCGCGCTGCCCCGGCCGCCCCCGCCCCGTCGGGAGGAGCTCTCGGCGGCCGGGACACGGAGGCGCGGACACGCGTGCACGCCGACACTCACACACATCCACACCGACTCGCACTCACGCAAGCACTCGGCGCTGCCGTCGGGGCCGTTTGTCCAAAAACAGGAGAGACTTAAAAAAAAACTCGAAGGGAGGCCGGGAGGGGACCGGGGGTGGGGCGGCCGTCGGCGATCCCCGCGGGCACCGGGCAGGGCGGAGCGTCCGGTGCCGGAGGAGCGGGGCAGTCGGGGACACACACACACGGGACGCACCGATTATTATTACCACGTCCTGCCGTAGAGCAGGTTGGGGCTGACCATGCCGCCGTTGTAGTCGACGCCGGCCGAGTCCAGGGGCGCCAGGGGAGCCACGGGGCCGTGCAGCGCCGGCGGGCTGGGCGACAGCTCCTCCAGGTCGGCCGCCTGCCCCAGCGAGCCGGGGTGCGGGTGCGCGGCGGGCGCGGCGGCGGCGGGGGCCGCGGGGGCGGCCGGCCCGGGGCCCGGGGTGGCGTTGCCCGGCGGCGGGCAGGGTTTGCCGTCCTTCACCAGCACCGGCACGGCCACGCGGCGCGGCGAGGGCTGCTGGCACAGGCCGCCGCCGCCGCCGCCGCCGCCACCGCCGCCGCCGCCGTCGGGGTGCAGCTGCTGGGCGGCCGCCTTGTCCTTGGCCTGGCGCTTCATCTTGTAGCGGTGGTTCTGGAACCAGATCTTCACCTGCGTGGGGGTCAGGTGGATCAGGCTGGCCAGGTGCTCCCGCTCGGGCGCCGACAGGTACTTCTGCTGCTTGAAGCGCCGCTCCAGCTCGTAGACCTGCGCCTGCGAGAAGAGCACCCTCCTCTTCCTCCGCGGCGCGGCGTGCAGCGGCACGATGGCCTTGGCGCCCTCGGCGATGCCGCTCAGGCCGCCCATGCCGGCCACGTTCATCCCCGCCGACGGGCCCATGAACCTGGAGACTGAGCGGGACGGCCTGCTCAACGCCCGCCCCGTCGGGGCCGCGGCTCCCCCCGCGCCCAGCCGCCCCCATCCTCATCCTCCTCCTCCTCCTCCGCGCCCCCCGCGCCCGCACTTACTGCTGGAGTAGCGGGGGTCGCCGCCGGGCCCGTACCAGCCGCCGCCCGCCGCCGCGCCGCCCCGCATCCCCTCGGGGTAGGCGGGCAGCTCGCCCACGTTGCCCAGCCCGCCGTTGCAGTAGCCCCCGACGGCGCCGTGCGGGAACTGCGAGACGCCGTGGGGCATGTGGTAGGCGGCCGCGCCCGCGGGGACGTGCTGCGGCACGGCGGCGGCGGCGGCGGCGGCGGGGGGCACGGACGCCTGGCGGTACGGCCCGAGGGGCGCGCCCAGCCCGCCCGCCCCGTCCATGCCGCCGAACTTCTTGTAGCTCTCCTCCATCGGGCTGAGGATGTCGGTGACCGAGAAGGGCGTCGTGTGCTTGGGGCTCAGCGACATGGCGCGGCGGGGCGGGACGCGACGGGGCGGGCCGGGCCGGGCCGGGCGCTGCCGCCGGCACCGGCGAGCCGTCCGCGGCGGCGGCCACCAGCCCCGGGCGCCGGTAGCTCGCCGGTTCTTTTAGCCCGGCGCCGGGTTTACGCCAGACGCGGGGGGGCGGAGCGGCGGCGGGCGGCCCCGGCCCCTCCCCGCCTCCCGCCGGCCCCCGGCCCCGGCCCCCTCCTCCCGGCCATTGTCCTGCGCCCGCCCGACGGCTCTTAAGCCCGGCCACGCCGGGGCAGCGCCGGAGCGGCTCCGAGCGGCCCCGGCCCCGCCGCCCTCGCCCGTAAGTACATGCCCGTTCCCCCGAGCCCCTCGCCACGGTGCGCGGCCACCCCCGGGCACAGCGTCCCGGCGCAGAGCGGCTCCCGCCCGGCCCCGACGGCAGCACCGGGCAGCCCCATCCCCTCTCCCGGCCGGGCTGCACGGCTCCCGGCCCCGGTCCCGGCCCCTCGGAGCCGCTGCCGCGAGGTGCGAGGCCAGCGGGGACCCCCGCGGCACCGGGGCCCCTTTAGGGCCGATGCTTCGTTTGCGGTTGCGTTTTCGGGGTTTTTTCGGTCGTTCTTCGTTTGTTCGTTGGTTTTGGCGCAACGAAAGGCGCTCCTGGAGCAGCCCGAGCCCGCGGGCGGGGGCCGGGCCGGCTGCGGGATTCGCTCCCCCGGCCCGGGGAGCGGCTGCGGGGCTCCTGCCCGGGCACCCCGCGCCCGTCGGGGCCGCTCCCGGGGCCGCTCCGGGGCTGAGCGGGGTCTCGGCCGGGCTCAGAGGCCGGGGCACAGCCAGACCCCGCGTCCGAAGCTGTTCCCGCTCCCCCGGGCCGGGCACCGCCGCGACGGGGCGGGCGGAGCCGAGCGTGGGGAGATGCGCTGGGTGCGCACCCGGCCGTGCGCGGGGACCCGCGGCGCTGCGCCTTCCCGAGAAACTGATAACACTCGGGGTGTTCAGTGAGCAGCCTCCCTCCGGAGCGGCACCGGTTCCCGAGGTGCTGCCGGTGTTCGCGGACGGACTCCCCTCTACGGGGGCTGAGGCCGGTTTTGGGGAGCCAGGGGTATCCCGCACCCTCCAGACTGGACCCTTCCCGTCCCAAACCCCATCTTTTCCTGATCTTTTTGGAGGCAAGGCACCTGCAGCTCTGTGGTGATTGTTAAAAATAAAAGATCGGGCGAGCACAGTTTTGCGTTTCAAACTTCGTGCTCCACGCTGAAATTCTGAGACCCCGGTGAGGGTCAAGAGTTAAACGGGTCCCGAATCTCCACGCGCTGCCGTCCAAATCCCACCTTCCCGACAGCTCTACTCAGTTGCAGTCTTCCCACCATTCGGGCAGAATTCCTGGCACTTCCATCCTTTTTTTTTTTTTTTCCTGCACCTCTCTTCCCCTCCCCTGCTCAAAAAAAAAAAAAAAAAAAAAAAAAAGAAAAAAAAAAAAAAAAAGGAGAAGAGAAAAAGCAAAAGCCTCTCTACATCCTTGTGAGAGCAGCACAGGGGCTGCCCCACTGCTGCCCCTCGGGGTAACCCAGGGCGGAACACAGCTCTGTCCCCCAGCACAGCCCCCGGTGCCCACCAGTGTCACCAGTGGTACCAGTGAACTGCTGAACCGTGTCTGAGCCCAGCTCTTCCTTCATCAGAGTCTTCCTCCAAAGGCTGATCATTTTATTATTATTTTATTTTACTTTATTTTATTTTTTTTATTTTTTTATTTTACTTTTTAATTTTAGTTTTTTACTTTTTTTACTTTATTTAAATTTTACTTTATTTTACTTTACATTATTTTACTTTATTTTACTTTATTTTACTTTACTTTATTTTACTTTATTTTATTTTACTTTATTTTACTTTACTCTTACTTTTTTTTTTTTTAATTTAACTTTATTTTATTTTGGCACCTGTAGTTTTCCATCCCTACTGGAGCAGGTCCCCTCCTTTCTGGGGCTCACACTCCAGGAAGGAGCTGCTGGAACCTCCCTCCTCCCTGGACACAGAGGTGCCCGTGTGCTGTTGGGGCAGGGGGCAGCTTGGCAAAGCAGGAACCATGCCCTGGAGATGGATGGATGGATGGATGGATGGATGGATGGATGGATGGATGGATGGATGGATGGATGGATGGACGGACTCATGAGAGGCAGAGCGTGGTGTCCCTGCTTCCCTCTGGGAAGGGAGAGGCTGCTCCTGGTGCTGTAGGGAGGATTCCCTGCAAGCCACTGGGGCATTTAGGATCTCCCCGAGGCCTCAGTGCTGCTTTGGGGTCAAACCAGCCAGAAAAAGGTGAAGGGCTGGGAGGGACTGGTGCTGTTTGTGTCAGACTGGCCCCGTAAGCCGGGATTTTGGGATGCGGCACAAGCGAGGTGGTTTGTAGGGATTCAGGGGACAGGTGTGTCACCAGCCCCTGCTCACTAACCAGGACCCTGGACTGGGCACCTGGGGCACAGGGAGAGAAATCCAGCCAGGGTGTCCCGGGACAGCAGCCCGGGAAGGGGGAGCTGGAGCAAAAGGGATCCTGAACACCACGGCTGCCCCCAGATCTGCTGCTGGAGCTGGGATGAGGAGCCGGGTGGAGCTTCCCTGGTGGCGGGGCTGGGACGGGTCCCTGGGGCACAGCAGGGGCTCAGCCATGCCCTGCCCACCGGGGCACCCCTGACCCTTGTCCTGGGGGCAGAGGCATCGCTGCATGCCCTGACAGAGCCAGGGAGAAGCGCAGCCCGGGGGGAGCTGGCAGAAATGCAGCCAGCCGAACGCCTCGTGGCCGCTTTGCACTGAAAACACCCCAGAATTTCCCCCTCATCAGTGATGTTTGGGATAAAAGGCATCGCTTCATTTCGGGCGGTGGGGGTAAAGAAATCCCTTTTGATGTGGCAAATGAATCCCAAAAAAACCAACCCACTAACCTTGAAATCTTTGTCACTTATAGAACATGTTTTTCTAACCTAACCCTCCATCACCTGCAGGTTCCACGCAAAACAGGACTTTTTCCTTCCCTGCCCTGGGAGGATCAAGCTGCAGATTCCAAGTGAAGTAGTTTAAAAGCAAATTAAAAAAAAAAAAATCAAACAAAAACAAAGAAAACCAAAACAAACAAAAAGGAGAAAAACCAAAACAAACAAAAAGGAGAAAAACCAAAACAAACAAAAAAACTCCAAAACCAAAACAACAACGGCAAAAAACCCCAAAAAACAGAAAAAAAACCCCCAAACAGACAAACCCAAACACATAGGAAACGCAACAGCAAAAAAGCCAAGAAGCCAAACTCTTGGGTTTTAATTTTTGGGGGTGATTTTCCCCGCTCCCTGATTACCCCCATTCCGCGGAAGGTCGCCCGGATCCCGGGCTGTGCAGATGTTATTTGCAGGAGTGCAGATGTTATTTCCCAGCCCGCCTTGTCTCCCGGATAATAATGACACATTCGGGGCTCATTTCCACACATAAGTTGTCCTTTGCTGTGCGAGCCCGTGCCTGTCACCGCGGAGGTGTTGACCTCGGCGAGCCACAATTGACACGGAGATGGAGGCTGATTTTTTTGGGGGGGCGTTTTGCAATAATCCAGTATAAATGCTAATTTATTTCTCGGCCCGAAAAGCGATGGTTTCCTCTAAATAATCAGCGGTGGCCTCTCTCTGCGCGGTGACAGCGCTGCGGTGGCAGTTTGCCTCGATTCAGCTCTCACCAATAATTTGCTGAGATTAAAAGGGTCTCGGAAACGGAGGCTTAAGGAATTGCTTTCTAAAGACGTGGCGAGATTGGAAAAGGAACCCGGGGTTTCCAGCGCACTCTAAAACCATTTCCACGTAAACCCCGGAATTAGGAGTTTGAAGTGGCGCTAAATGGGCTGTTCACAGGCAAGTCAAGAAATTAACCCGGCACCACCGGGACACCGCGGCCGCCGCCTCTGCCTTGCCTGGGGAAACCGAGCCCTGAGCCGGGAACTGCGGGCTGGGATGCCCGCAGGAGGGATGCCCGGCAGGAATGCCCATCAGGAATGCCCACCAAGACCGGCACGGCCGCAGCAGGACACCCTGTGACAGGTCTGGTTTGCCCTAAAGTCAGGTTTAGGGGGTGTTATCTCCTTGTGCACCCTGCCCCTCTTTACGTGATGATAATTGTCATGGAATGATGTTTGTCCCTGTGGTTGTAGGTTTTCCTTATGTGGCTTTTTTGGGATAAGCACCCTCCCACACCAATAAATATATTGGTCTCACACAGGCTTCCCTGGAATTCCTGCTTGTGGATGGATGTGTTTTCCCGTGGGGTTTGGGTGACAAGCCAGCTTTCATCCTGCCTGTGAAAGGGGATGTTTCCAGCTCCTGAGCTCCCAGGTAAATGCCTTGTGTCCTCAGATCCAGCTGGGAAAAGTTTCTGGAAAGGGAAAGGAGTGTGGATGGGAGCAGAGCAGGTTCCAGTGAAGGCAGCAGGCAGGCGAAATATCCCAGAGCTGCTTTTAAGGTTTTCCTAATTATTAAGGTGGCAGGAAATGCTCCGGGGCTGTGTGATATTCCTGAGGCATCTCCTCCAGCTTTTCCTCACATTACAGAACATGGATGTTTCCCTGGCACCACTCTATGCCTGGATCCCTGATCCTGGATCCCTGACACCTGCCCCATCCCACCTGGCAGCAGCGTGTGCCACCAGCTCCTTTGTGCTGGGCCCACTGCCTCTCTCCCTTTGTTGAGGCTCTGTTTTCCATTCCATATGTTTTTCCCAGTTTAATTAGTGGGAATAACAAGGCTGGCTTTCCCTGTGGCTGCAGCATGGGTGAGGGAACACCAGGGAAACCCAGGCTCCTGAGTTACTCCCAGGTTTAAATTCCCTCCTGGTTTGTGCTGCTCGTGACTGCTCCTGCCTTTGGAATGGGAGCCCTTCCACATGGTGGATGTTTTTCCATGGGTTTTACCTGGCCTGGGCTGTGGGATCACCATGGAATTCCTGCCTGGTTTGGGATGGAAGGGACTGGAAGGACCATGCTGTGCCAAGCTCCA